AATCACCAATGGGTTAAGGAAGAAATAAAAGAAATTAAAGACTTCCTAGAGATCAATGAAAATGAAGACACCACATATCCAAATTTATGGGACACTATGAAAGCAGTACTAAGAGGGAAATTCATAGCACTAAATGCCCACATAAATAAGTTGGAAAAATCTCACACTAGAGACTTAACAGCATACCTGAAAGCTCTAGAACAAGAAGAAGCACAGTCTCCCAGGAAAAATAGACGCCAGGAAATTATCAAAGTGAGAGCTGAAATCAATAAAATAGAAACAAAGAGAACAATACAAAAAATTAATGAAACAAAGAGTTGGTTCTTTGAGAAAATCAACAAAATAGACAAGCCCTTATCCAAACTAACCAAAAGACAGAGAGAGAGCATCCAAATCAACAAAATCAGAAATGAAAAGGGGGACATAACAACAGACATTGAGGAAATCCAGAGAATCATCAGGTCATACTTCAAAAACCTCTATTTGACAAAACTGGAAAACCTAAAAGAAATGGATAACTTTCTGGATAGGTACCACATACCTAAGTTAAATCAAGACCAGATAAACTATTTAAATAGTCCAATAACCCCTAACGAAATAGAAACAGTCATTAAAAGTCTCCCAACCAAAAAAAGCCCAGGACCAGATGGTTTCAGCGCAGAATTCTACCAGATCTTCAAAGAAGAGTTAATACCAATACTCTCTAAATTGTTCCACACAATAGAAACAGAAGGAACATTACCAGACTCCTTCTATGAGGCTACAATTACCCTAATTCCTAAACCAAACAAGGATACAACAAAGAAAGAGAACTACAGACCGATCTCCCTCATGAACATTGATGCAAAAATACTCAATAAAATACTGGCAAACAGACTCCAAGAACACATCAAAACAATTATCCACCATGATCAAGTAGGATTCATTCCAGGGATGCAAGGGTGGTTCAACATACGAAAGTCCGTCAATGTAATACACCATATAAACAAACTCAAAGAAAAAAACCATATGATCATCTCACTGGATGCAGAAAAGGCATTTGACAAAATCCAACACCCCTTCATGATAAAGGTCTTGGAGCGATCAGGAATACAGGGAACATACCTAAACATAATAAAGGCAATTTACAGCAAGCCAACAGCCAACATCAAATTAAATGGAGAGAAACTCAAAGCAATTCCACTAAAATCAGGAACGAGGCAAGGCTGTCCACTCTCCCCATACTTATTCAATATAGTACTTGTAGTTCTAGCCAGAGCAATAAGACAACATAAGGAGATTAAGGGGATACAAATTGGAAAGGAAGAAGTCAAGCTTTCCTATTTGCAGATGACATGATAGTATACTTGAGCGACCCCGAAGATTCTACCAAGGAACTGATACAGCTTATAAACACCTTCAGCAACATAGCAGGATACAAGATCAACTCAAAAAAATCAGTAGCCCTCCTATATACAATGGACAAAGAAGCGGAGAAGGAAATCAGAGATACATCACCCTTTACTATAGCCACAAATGACATAAAATACCTTGGGGTAACACTAACCAAGCAAGTGAAGGATCTATATGACAAGAACTTTAAGTCCCTGAAAAAAGAAATTGAAGAAGATGTCAGAAAATGGAAAGATCTCCCATGCTCATGGATAGGCAGGACTAACATAGTAAAAATGGCAATCTTACCAAAAGCAATCTACAGATTCAATGCAATCCCCATCAAAATACCAACACAATTCTTCACAGACCTGGAAAGAATAATACTCAACTTCATATGGAAAAACAAAAAACCCAGGATAGCCAAAGGAATCCTGTACAATAACACAACTTCTGGAGGCATCACGATCCCTGACTTCAAGCTCTATTATAGAGCTACAGTAATAAAAACAGCTTGGTACTGGCATAAAAACCGACATGTGGACCAATGGAATCGAATTGAAGACCCTGACATTAATCCGCACACCTATGAACATATAATTTTTGACAAAGAAGCCAAAAGTGCACAATGGAAAAAAGAAAGCATCTTCAACAAATGGTGCTGGCAAAACTGGATATCAACATGTAGAAGGCTGCAAATAGATCCATATCTATCACCATGCACAAAACTTAAGTCCAAGTGGATCAACGACCTCAACATAAATCCAGCTACTCTGAACCTGCTAGAAGAGAAAGTAGGAAGTAGTCTTGAACGCATTGGCATAGGAGACTGCTTCCTAAGTAGAACACCAGTAGCACAGACTCTGAGAGAAACAATCAATCAATGGGACCTCTTGAAACTGAGAAGCTTTTGTAGAGCAAAGGATACAGTCAACAAGGCAAAGCGACAGCCTACAGAATGGGAAAAGATCTTCACCAACCCCACATCTGACAGAGGACTGATATCCAGAATATATAAGGAATTCAAGAAATTAGACATCAAAATGCCCAACAGTCCAATTAAGAAATGGGCTATAGAACTAAACAGAGAATTCTCAACAGAGGAAACTCAAATGGCCGAAAGACATTTAAGGAACTGCTCAACATCCCTAATCATCTGGGAAATGCAAATCAAAACAACTCTGAGATACCACCTTACGCCTGTCAGAATGGCTAAGATCAAAAACACTGAAGACACCTTATGCTGGAGAGGATGTGGAGCTAGGGGAACTCTCCTCCACTGCTGGTGGGAATGCAAGCTTGTACAACCACTTTGGAAATCAATATGGTGCTTTCTTAGAAAATTGGGAATCAATCTCCCCCAAGATCCAGCTATACCACTCTTGGGCATATACCCAAGAAATGCTCAACCACAGCATAAGAGCACTTGTTCAGCTATGTTCATATCAGCATTGTTTGTAATAGTAAATAGCATCTTTAAAGGTAATTGGGCTAATCTTGGACAATACATGACTTCCCGAGTTTATTTACATCCCATTCAATTAGCTCATCAATGAATTTGAACTATTCTTCCTGGGAACACTCCTCCTCCAACCACTCTTAACTGTCCTTACTACCTTCCTTCATTGAAGGCCACTACCCATATGCCAAAACTATTGCAATAGCCTGTGGTGGTATTTTACTTATACTGAAATGTGATTTTAATTGTATGTTAATAAATAAAGTTGTGTGGGGGTCAGAGCTATTAGAGTCATAGCAAGTGCGTGGCGGCGGTGGCGCACGCCTTTAAGGACCTGGAGGGCGGTACATTCAGGTAGTGACGAGGCTGAGTAGTATTCCATTGTGTACATGTACCACATTTTGTTTATCCATTCTTCAGTTGAAGGGCATCTGGGTTGTTTCCATGTTCTGGCTATTACAAACAATGCTGAGGGAAAGAGAGCTTGGGGGAGTGGGAGATCCCAGCTGGATCAACAATAGAGAGGGAGAACAAGGAATAGGAGACCATGGTAAATGAAGACCACATGAGAATAGGAAGAAGCAAAGTGCTAGAGAGGCCCACAGAAATCCACAAAGATACCCCTACAACAGACTGCTGGCAATGGTCGAGAGACAGCCCGAACTGACCTACTCTGGTGATGGGATGGCCAAACACCCTAATTGTTGTGCTAGAAACCTCATCCAACTACTGAGGGATCTGGATGCAGAGATCCATGACTAGGCCCCGGGTGGATCTCTGGGAGTCCAATTAGCGAGAATGAGGAGGGTTTATATGAGCGAGAATTGTTGAGACCAAGGTTGGATAAAGCACAGGGACAAATAGCCAAATGAATGGAAACACATGAACTATGAACCAATGGCTGAGGGGTCCCCACTGGATCAGGCCCTCCAAATGGGTGAGACAGTTGATTGGCTTGATCTGTTTGGGAGGCATCCAGGCAGTGGGACCAGATCTTGTGCTCATTGCATGAGTTGGCTGTTTGAAACCTGGGGCCTATGCAGGATTGTTTGGCTCGGCCTGGGAGGAGGGGACTAGACCTACCTGGACTGAGTCTACCAGGTTGACCTCAGTCTGTGGGGAAGGCTTTGCCCTGGAGGAGATGGGAATGGGGGGGGTTGGGGGGAAGGTGAGGGGGACGGGAGGGGGGAGAACAAGGGAATCCGTGGCTGATATGTAGAACTGAATTGTATTGCAAAATAAATTAAAATAAATTTAAAAAAAAATGACTTAGTAACTGGTCTTTGTTAGCACCACCCCCCATTCAGTTAAATGTATTTTTATGAGCTTTTCATTAACAGAATACTGAAGCCTTGGTGCCAAGGTGCAAACTTCCCCATGTGACTGGAGATCACTTGGCACATGTTCAGGCATTTATGTCTCTGTCATATGTCTAGGGTTTGCAATTAAAAATGTAATCATTTTAGCGTGAGAAAAAACCCAAAGGCTTGAAGTAGTATGCATTGAATGTGATTATAATAGTATTCGGCAGCTGTTCATGATGGCACATATTAATTTATGTAAACTGTGTAAACTTGGGGCATTTCCTCATCAGGGACACATGGAAAAAAAATAAGCTGATGCTGTGGGATGTTCTGTATGGCAAATGTGTTGCTAATTAGTCAATAAATAAAACACTGATTGGCCATTGGCTAGGCAGGAAGTGTAGGCGCAACAAGGAGGAGAATAAAGCTGGGAAGTGGAAGGATGAGTCAGAGAGACACTGCCAGCCGCAATGATGAGAAACAGCATGTGAAGATGCGGGTAAGCCACGAGCCATGTGGCAAGGTGTAGATTAATGGAAATGGATTAATTTAAGCAAGTTAGCAAGAAGCCTGCCACGGCCATACAGTTTGTAACCAATATAAGTCTCTGTGTTTACTTGGTTGGGTCTGACGGCTGTGGGACTGGCAGGTGAGAGAGATTTGTCCTGACTGTGGGCCAGGCAGGAAAACTTTAGCAACAAGCTGATCCTTTTTCATTGGAGGATGTTTTTCCTCTGTGTTTTGTTTTTGTCTTTAAACTGTCATGAATAGAGATTAATGCAAAATACACATCTTTTATGACCTTAGTTTCCCCCATGCACAGAGTTCATTAAAATTAACATCTTATACTAGCAAAAATAACTTACTTCACAGGATTATTCTTAGGTTTTGCCTTTTCAACAGCCTGTAAACAGAGAGAAAAATGCAATTAGACAATGTTAACAGGCGTAATCTTTGCAACTAGTAATCAAAACACTAAGCAGTAAAAAGTTAGTGAATGCTTTTTAGAAACATTAGGAGTGAACTGAAACAAGCTCCCATGAATAAGCAGTGACATAGAAAACAATCTTCTTCCCCAGAGAATGCATTTACTTGTCCAAGTGCTCAAACACAGATAGGCATTGTCAGAGCACCTGGCAAAGTTCAACAGGAGCCATGAAAGCAGGCTCCTGGGTGCACAAGCAGATCCTCTCTTCCCTACCTTTTACTCCAATTTTACCCAATATAGGCCTGATGAGATTGGAATGACAGCACCGAGAGGGGGCTGCAACACATGATGGTTCTGTGGCAGGGGAGCATTAACCTTAACTTTCTTCCCAACACCTAACCACACCTGCACCATGAGAGAAAGGACAAAAAAATGTTCATTTCCAAAATTGCTTTTAGTAGCAGACAGTACAAAAGGGCAAGGGATGCCCAAATACTGAGAACAATTTCTTCCCCTGGAACCTTTAGGAAAATACACACCAAATCTCAAAATGAGGAAATTTCTGGGCCTCATGGCCTGAGTAACCTTAGACATGGAGACTGGTTCCAGTTTATTGCTGAACCCATTGATCTGTGTACAGTCCATTTATCATTCATTAAAATAGCTAGTGATCTTCACAGTATATTAGAAGAAACAACTCATATCATCTGTCAACGGTCCTCTTATATCTCTTTCCTTCTCCATGGGGATTTCATCTCCTTTGATTGGTCTGGAATTAAAATGTTGCTAAGTAACAGAGCTGGGGGCACTGATGGCAGAATGGCCACAGTCTATCAAAATGTTTAAGTACCTGGAGGGCTTGAATGATGATTTTTTTTCCATATATCTGTAGCATAACTATGTAATGAGAACTTGCACTCTATTAGATTTTCTCAGGTTACCAGAATAACATTTAACATGGAGAGCAATGAAGCAGCAGTTTGGCCACCTACAGACTTCTTCAGACACTTTTAAACAATATCCATTAGGGGACCTTGTTTGTGAATCTTGAAGTGGGTAGAGTCTAAGAGAGAAGAGCAGTGCTGTAAATTAGAATACTGAGACAATCATTTTCAACAGTGCCACTCTCACACTGTACTTGACGTTGTAGCTAATCATCAGTGAGATTCAATATGTTCAACTCTGCTATGCCAAATTCATGCATTTGATAGCCATATATAGTTCCCAACTTTCAAACATTAGTGTTGGAAATCTAAGCTCTTCTTATGTATTGTCTCAGGATCTGTCACTAGATAAACATCTGTTAATATTGAGCACTTACTTTGCCTTGATAGGGAAAATTCATTTTCTCACCACCTGTGCCTTAATTTGAATTTTGACAAGTTCTAGAATAAGAAGACAGGAAATGAGGCAACAGGTAAAAATGAGAAAACAACAACTATGTGTCTGGCTTCTCCAAATCACCTTTTATGTCTATCTAGGACATGTGAGACCATTCCTATGCAACCCATGTAGATCAAAGGTGTTAACACTGTTCACCATCAATTCTTCCAGGTCAGATAGACAAAGAAAGAGAAAGATGCTTGTAAGAAGTACAGTGCAGACCTTTGATCTTTCCTATGAGTCTAACACTTTCTCTGCATAGGCATGAGCACTCCCCTCTGCCCTAAATTCCATTCCCTTCCCTTCCCTTCCCTTCCCTTCCCTTTCCTTCCCTTCCCTTCCCTTTCCTTCCCTTCCCTTCCCTTCCCTTCCCTTCCCTTCTTCCCTTCCCTTCCCTTCCCTTCCCTTCCCTTCCCTTCCCTTCCCTCCCTTCCCTTCCCTTCCCTTCCCTTCCCTTCCCTTCCCTTCCCTTCCCTTCTTCCCTTCCCTTCCCTTCCCTTCCCTTCCCTTCCCTTCCCTTCCCTTCCCTTCCCTTCCCTTCCCTTCCCTTCCCTTCCCTTCCCTTCCCTTCCCTTCCCTTCCCTTCCCTTCCCTTCCCTTCCCTTCCCTTCCCTTCCCTTCCCTTCCCTTCCCTTCCCTTCCCTTCCCTTCCCTTCCCTTCCCTTCCCTTCCCTTCCCTTCCCTTCCCTTCCCTTCCCTTCCCTTCCCTTCCTTCCCTTATTCCCTTTCCTTCTTCTCTCCCGTCCCTTCCCTTCTTTTCCCCTCCCCTTGCTGTCCCTTTCCTTTATGCCTTCTCTCTCCCCCTTCTCTCTCTTGCCCTTACTTTTTTCCCTTCTTTTTCTCTCACTCTCTGTCATACCTCCCTCCCCCTCCCTCCTCCTGCTGTCTCCAGTTTTCTCCCCTCAAGTCTGTCTGTTTGGGAATAAGGTATGGTAGTCAGCTAAAATACATCACTGTGGAAATCATATTAATTTATTTTTTACAATTAAAATGCAAGCAAGTCTGTTCTAGAAGTTGTAAGTTATCATCACATAGTAGGCCCTGTTCCAGTAGTTTCTCTTGATTGATGTGATAAAGTGAGCATGGCACTGGCAGAAGATGTAGAAGGGAGAAATCAAATTGACATTGCTAAACCCAGCTTTGATTCAGAGACATAATTATATCCAGTTATTTTTCTCTGATCAAAAGCCTTATCCTGTTACAGGCCAGGTTCTTTGAAACATATGCCATTGTATACAGCTATTATAAAAATATAACTTCATTCAAGTTATTTTTCCTAGATTGCTTGGCTATCAGTTGGAAATGTCTATGCTTAGAGGTTCTGTTTTCCTTTAGAAATGAACTTACAGTCATTGCAATGTCTCACAGTTATAGCCAAATATACTCATGTCATCCTGTGTGATCATCTTGTGGAATTTCTAAACTAAATGGTGACAGGGAACCTAAGTCAGATGATACATGGCTTGCAATTTATATTCTCCACATTTGCTGTAATTTGACTTTGTTAGAGGCATGCTGTGGGGGATTGTAATACTAAGGAGCTGTGGAAGAAAAATTTAAGCAGATTTTTTGGATGCAAATTATACATGTCATTAAGGCATAAAGGAATTACTCTACAAAATTTACAAGGAGAAAATTTCCTCCTTTGAAATAAGCAAATATAGGAAGACAATCTCACATTCCAGATACATGTGGCAGGATGTGAGACATGATGAAAAGTTAAATTAAAAGGAAATGACACAGTATAAATTCACCAAGCATTAATAAAGTAATAGCTAAATTTAAGTTTAAAAACATGCATTAAGCTAATTTAAATTGATTGGAAAAATGAATAGACAACAGTTAAGAGTTACGTTGCTTTAATTTATAAATGTCTGTATGCCTTTAAAAACCTATATTCTCCTATTTTGCATCATATTTCTGTAACATGACATATATCTCACCAAGGAGGACATTCTCATGTAAGGAAGAATAATGAAAGAAAATTTTAAGGATTATGTTCTAGTATGACATGATGAGAGTTAATATGCTGTACAAAAGTGCCCCAATCTTTTGACATTGTCATGTACAAACGTGTTAGGCTTCATTCATAGCCACCTTGGAGTACATGCAGCCTGTGGGCCACAGGTTGGACCTACCTGTTAGTAGAAGAGTAGGGTACTGGAAATGTTAATAAGCTGGGTTGTGGTTCTGGTTTTGCTACTTATGGTACTAGCAAGAGAAAAAAAAAAACAGTATGCCCCAGTTTGCTTATTTTGAAAATGAAGACAATCATTCTTGCCCTTTCTATGTCAGTGGGCACATTGTTAACATTCCACATTGATGGCTGTGCTCAGAACTTCAATATGCTAAACAAATATCATTTGTGAGTGTTTTATACAAATGTGTTGGTGTATTGAGTTTAATGGTAAGCGATTGTTCGTGGATTTACCAAGTAGTGGTCAGGTCTCAGTATCAAACATATGCAGTTTACTGCAATAATGATAAGAAATACCATAATGCTGCTTTCTCCATATCAAGAATAGCTTGGAGGCCAGCCTGGGCTATAGAATATGACCCCATCTCAAAAATAACCCAAACAAAAAAAGCAAGCCACAGCCTCAGGCTTGGGGTTGTCTCTAGTTCTCTCTTGGGCTGGTGGTTTGGCAGATGACCCTTACCTCAATGGCTCTGTTGTCTGTTAACTTGACTTTAATTGAAATGGAGGCATAACATATCCTAGAAAAATAAAGATTTACGATACAAACTAGAAAAAAAAAAGAATAGCTCTGAGGTGAATGTAATACCACTGTCTGGAAAGCAGTATTAACAGAAGACTCTGAGGTACTGAAGAGACATAATGAAACAAGTGAGGGCCATCTACCATTTCATAGGTATGAATCCTCTATGATTCTTGGAACTTGATGGTAGAACACTCTGGGAACTGGAGGGAGAAGTATGGGTCACAAGCATGTTACCATTCAAATCTTTCTCTCCTTCACTTTTCCTTCCTTTCTGACCCTTCTGTCTCTGAGTGAAGCCTAGGATGATTAACAGATCTTTCTTGTTCTTTGAGATAGACTCTTGATGCACAGCCCAGTCTAGCATCAAACAAATGATCTCCCTGCTTCTGCCATCCAAATTCTGCAATTACAGGTGTGTGCTGCCATACCTAGCTGGCTGAACCCTCATTTTCAGGTTATCAATCCTTTAGAAACCCATCCTGCAACTTACACTTTAGGGATGCTCTTCACTTTCTCACTAACGTTCTATGACAAGCATATTGAAAAAGAACTGTATTCCAGGGGGAGGGCACTTCTCTTATTCTAAGGAGTGTTTATGAGCTGAGCCATATCTCATTATCATCATTTTACTATCCAAAGTATCCTGCTAAGCAACAAATTCATTTCCTCAGAATGGATGATGTGGATAGGCTCATAGCTGCTTGTTCATTAAATCTTCCTTTTTTTTTTTTTGGTTTTTCGAGACAGGGTTTCTCTGTGTAGCTTTGCGCCTTTCCTGGAACTCGCTTTGGAGACCAGGCTGGCCTCGAACTCACAGAGATCCGCCTGGCTCTGCCTCCCGAGTGCTGGGATTAAAGGCGTGCGCCACCA